AGGTTTTTATATAGGTACTAAAGAGATTTTATAGAATATAGACTTCTTGAGCGATCTAAAAAGCAAAATGAATACTTTTGTACCCAAGGTACCAAAAAAGTGTCACAGAACTCCCAATTTCATCCTACTTGAGGATGAAGATTCAGACGAGGACTCAAATGTAGGGTTTCAAACCGGTTTTAAATTTTAAACCCGTGACCTGTCGGGTCAAGACTTTCAACCAACCAGATATCCAAATTAAATCGGTAATCCGACTGAATTCGGGTGACCCAGATACCTGACTAAATTCGGGTGACCCAGATACCCGAATGAATTCGGGTGACCCGGATACTTGACTAAATTCGGGTGACCCGGATACCTGAATTTATTCGGGTGATCTGGATACCCGAATTCATTCGGATAACCCAGATACTTGACTAAATTCGGGTGATCTGAATGCCCGATTACTCGAAGATTCTTTTTAGATACATATAGTGATACGTAATTATCAAAAAATTTAAATCAGTTTTTATCAACTATCAATTGTTATCTAATAATGAATAATTTAAATTTATTCTCGCAATAAATTTAAGAAATAAATACTGTAGATGCTTCAATAAATGAATTTTTAAATTCAAAAAAAAAAAAAAAAATACACCAAAAACCGTAAAGAAAATATTGAATGAAGGCGCCAATTAAAGTATTATATTTGTAAAATAAGATATGCAAACTTATATAAAATATTACAAATATAAAAACAAATCTTATTTAATGACGCAAATATTATGTTCTCTTTAATCCTTTCCACACTAATTGATTTAAATATAACGCTCCAACTTAATAAAAACATACTACGCAAACCCTCGCAATATCTTTGATCACTGGTATTTTCAATCCCTCTCTTAAACTAAAATACACATAGAAAAAATAACAAAAAAGTTTTAATTCAGTTCATACAGCAATACGATTATTTATTATTAGCTCAAAAAAATGATTAAATTTCAGAATTTTGTAATTGACAATAAAATGTTAAACGTCCTACTATATAATTCTAATTTTTTTTTCTTTAATATTATTTAGCCACAACTTTCAATTTATATTATAATTGAGAATGATTAATGTCATATCGACATCTTATGATTTTGTCCTTATTGTATCCGATAGTTCAATTTTAGACATATTTCATCTATTCATCCGGCTTGAAAATAGAAAAGTGCTGCATATTACGTTTGAGGAATATCATTTGTTCAACCAAATTTGGATTAATCTGGTTATGTAATGCTGTGATATGTAATCCCGCATTTGAAAATAACCGCTCTGAGGGAACTGATGTTGCCGGTACTGACAAATATTTTTGTGCTAAATTTGATAATATAGGATATACACCAGATCTATCTTTCTACCATACCAATGGGTTACAGCCCATTTTCTCAACAGGTTCATGGAGATAATGATCAACTTCACCTTCATTAAGAATTTCATCATCTGGCTCTTCACTATTGTATAAAGCCACAATCAAGTCATTATTTGTTGTAGGTTCATAAGTTAGCATGCTAGACGACTTATCAGGCCCAACTAAAGGTGGGTGATTATTTCCTTTATCACAAAGAATTCGCACCCTATTGATCGTGGTTGTTTTCATAGTTTCATTATTAAGAAACTTCAAATTTTTAATTCGCAGGTCCAAGAATAATGCTATAAGACCAATTTCTTCAGAAACTTTCCAATATTTTTGAAGAGAAAGATAACTTGCAGCCTTAACTAAATCACAAAGTTCTTCAGTAGTAACTGGGGGTTCTATTAACCGATGACCTTTAAACCGTGGATCATTATATAAATTTGTATCTTTTCTATTTTTACCATTATACTGATTTTTTACTCATCCTTGTGATGCTTGCAATGGTTGCCGAAGTTGCTCTGAAGTTACTAATATATCAAATTCGTTTTCTATATCTAGTTCGTCAGGACCTTCGTTATCGATTGGTTGGCTTTGGCTAGAAAAAAAATATATATATATAAAATAAGATTTAGATTTGTGTAGTAAAAAAAAAAAGACTTTAAAATTTTAAATTTGCTAAGTAATATTTATTCTAAAATTTAGTCAATAATAAATTTTTTTTAACATGCCCGACAGGTCCAAATAATAATTTAGCGTAATCATCTTTAGTTTTATAAAAAGGGGCAAACCCCTTAATCAGTAATTTCATTGTTGGATAAATGAGATTGAGCGAAAGATAACTTGAATCAGAAAATATGTTGGTGGCTTCATAAAATGGTTTTAATAGTGAGATTAGACCGTCTAACAATTGCCATTCATTTTCAGTTAGGGTGATTAATTTCAAATATTTGCCATCAAGTCTATCACATCGTTCTGATTCTGAGAGCAGCATTAAAACAAAATAATCGATCGCTTTTCATAACTCTTTAAGTCGAATCCAGGCCAAATATGAAGAGTTTTATCTTGTCGGTACATCATCAATTGTTTGATAAATTTTTGAATATCTACATTTCTCTTGTGTATCTAAAAGTCATTCAGACTGTTTAGGACTTTGAGAAAAAAAAAATTAAATTCTTTGCTCTTTTAATTAACTGTATTGCTGGTTTAAGACCTTTTAGTACACTAAGTTGAAGGGTGTGTGCTAAACAAGATAATCGTGTAATATTATCAATTAAACTAATTGCCTTTTTAACATTAGCTCCATTGTCAGTTGTAATACAGAAAACTTGTCTAGTAAGTCCCCAATCTGTGATAACCTGGTCAAGAAATTCTTTGATAGCTTCAGCTGTATATGGTGATGGAAGTAGTCGGATTGCTAATAAAGCCTCTTTTAATTCAAAGTTTGAATCAATTCATGTTGCCATTACTCCAATATACCCCTGGTTTGTTCTTGAACTCCACATATCTGTTGTTAAATTGACAAATCCACTACTGATATTCATCATACCAAATAATTGATCACGACTCCAATCGTAAGCTTTATCAATCATTTTTTTCACTGTTTGTTCACAAGGAATATAAAACCCCATTTCCATATAGTTTAAAAGTCAACGAAAAGCTTGATTACGTAAAATATGAAGAGGTTGGCAATTGTCAATAATAAATTTGACCAACAGTTGTGCTATTTTTTCTTGTCTCCGTTTATTGATGACATGTATGGCTTTTATAATCGGACTATCAGTAGTTGTTTCTTCAAGGTGGTCTTTATTGATTCGATGCTTAGACCAAAGATGGCCAAGCATGTTTCCCGTTGAAGAGTCATGTGCATACTTAATATCTATATATTTTTTTTACATATTTGACAAACATTAAAGTCACCTTTTTCTGTTGTTTCAGTTTCAAAATAATCTCACGCAATACTATGATTTTCACGATTCTTTCTCTTTTTTGTTTTACATGTAAGTGATTCATTGGGTTCCTCACGCACAGAATATGTATCATCATCATCTAACATATAGTTGGATACTGAAAAGCTTATTTGGATAGATTTACCTATAATTATCTTTATCATATTCATTAGTAATCTTTTTATACACACTATGTTGATTTGAAAGATTTATCTGTTAAATGGCGGCTACAGTATAAGGTATATTAAACCTTCCTTACATTTATAATAGTTATTTAATTCGGCAAAACTTTAAGGGTAGCCCTTTTTTTTTTTGAGCTATAGGTGGACAACGTGGCTATTTTTATAATAATGCTTGGGTTAACAATGGTGAGCAAAAATGTTTATAAAATAAAAAAAACTTTTAACTGTCTGTTTAAAAAGTTCTATAATTTCCTTTATAGCGAAAGAGAAATCGATTTTTTAAAAAATTCAGTCCAAAAAAAAAAAAAAAAAAAATCTAAATTTATATATTAAAAAGTAAGGGGTTCTTACAAAACTTTTATCACGACAAAGAAAAATACATACCAAATTTTTCTACTTTTCTGATTACCATTTAACTTTAAACATTTCTGCAATTTTATTTTTAAACTTTATTTTTTGAACCGGTTGATAACTAGTTGATAATATAAATCGGTTGATCGATCATCTATTTACCAACTGGGTCACTCGCTACAAAGCGGGTCACCCGCTTTTTAGCGGGTGACCCGTCTATTATTTTAAACCGGTTTGTTAAAAAAAAAGATCTGGTTTATAAATTTCACGGGTCGGGTGATCAGGTACACGGTTACCCGGATTATAGTTTGGATCCCTACTCAGATGCAGTATCATTAAAAATTGTTTTTTTTCTTTTAGCCTATGATTTCTCCGAAAAATATCTGGGTTTGCTATTGAGTTTATAATATTCTGCTGAATCTCAGGTTTCACTATCTCCAGTAATTGGCAGAGAGAAATCTGGATTTTTTTACCTGATACTTGCTTAACAATATCAGATACCACTTTATCGGTAATGTTGGGTAAACTTTTATCTTTTTCAAAACCCAATTTTTTCACAATCTCATAAGTGATAATTGGACATTCTGAACATGAATCAATCATATTCTGTTGCTTTAGCACTAATTCAATATTATTATTTTTAGTCATTGTCTATGTTAAATTATTTATTAATATGCAATAAAAAAAATACATCATTAAATATACTTAAAATGTTCGTAAATACTCTTGTCGAAGGAAAAATCCCAGTAAAAGATACAACATCTAAATATAATACTATTAGCAAACACTTATTCGATAAGCTTGAATCTGATCACAGATTAGAAGGTATAGTTGGTGATGATCTGATAGGCGAAGAAATAAAAGGCTTAGATTTGCAATTTTGCTATAAAGGAAAGTAGCGAAGTTTAGATGGTACCGAAGTAATAGACTTTCAAATTTGCAAAAATCCATCATTTGATTTGGTATTAGAGAGAGATTGGTTATGGATATGTGAAGCAAAAATAAACTTTGGATATTTTCCCAAAACCTGTGTCCGCCATGCTAAAATTGTAATCGATGGTATGAGTATCCCATTAATCGAAGAAAATAGTAATAAAGCCAGCTCTAATAAAAATAACTTATCTCATTCTGAAACAGAAATCGATAAACCTGATCTAAATTTAGAAAAGTTTATAGATATGTTTAAGAAATTATCTATAGAGACTAATTTATCCAGTTCTGATTCAGAATCCACGGGTTCAGACTGGTACAATCTTGATCTAAAAAAAACCCGAAAGAAACACATCCATATTACAAAGAAAAAGGTTATCTCTCCTAGCCGAAAACATCGTAGAAATAAGCCAATTAGAACTAAGTAATCTTTAATCCAGAAAATTATTATAGGTGGAATCAATATAGAAGTATTTCAGAGAAATGACATATTACTGCGCTATATTACTGCATCCTGGTGACATGGTGTCCTGCCTTGGCAACTAGAAAAAATAAACACTGCACCACATTACTGCACAAAGTGGACTGATCATTGAATAAATATTTAAACCTGCCCACATCGGGCTTAGTGACATGTGTTTGTTAGAATTATTTCGCATACAAATAAAATTTATCTGTATTACCTTGCAAGGCTTATCATTATGCATAACTTATTTGTAAGATAGATCACAAGTAGAAATTGCCATTTTTCATTTTTCTAGAATTAGTACTTAAACCAAAGTTAGTCAATTAACTCATGCCACATATCGATATGTTCTGAATTTATTTGTGGGTGAGGGTGCAATTGCTACATATTATTGACCACATTATATTTTTTCTGTTAACGTATAACAATGAAAAAATATCTGAATAACATACTCATACATAAAGATAAACAAAATTATATTGAAAAGTGGCATATCTTTAGAGGATGGAAGCATGGGTGTAAAGTTTGTGACGAATGCAATCACCATTCTCACCTATATTGCAAAACATGCAAAAAAGTAGCAGAGGGAATATATAAGCGATGTGAATGTGAAAATTCTCTTAGAAAGAGGTCTCTGACTCATCTACAGTACGTAGCTTGAATAATTAAATAATAAATATATACGATCATGGGTGTGGTATCCAAAAAGCTTTGAGAGTTGATTAATTTTTCATGTAACATTGGGGTATCCAATGTACTATATAGATCAAATATATGTATAGTCCTATATAAAAATTATTAGTAGATTTTTTTTTTATCGGTATGTATTACACACTGGTTATATGTCTAGTAATTAGCCAATAAGCAGATATTACACACCATTTAGTGATTAGATTTTTTTTTTATTGTTATCTTTATTATTTGATTTATTTAGCATTCGCTTTTTTTCTTTTTTTTTAGATATATTATTTTATAAACAACTAAACGAAGACAGAAGATGGGGTAAGAAGTAGAAGTTCATATAGATTTATTACTATTCGAAAAAAAAGCCACTAATTTTGACACAAATCAAAAAATACTTTTGTTGCAACTTCTTTCCCAAATATGTTTTGCTCGATTTCTGAAATTATGGGTAATTGTTTTTGACATTTTGTACGAGTCTCTTTGAGTCTCAAGGTAATATTTTCTATGTTTATATCTCCAGATGACAGTTGCAATTTCAACTGCTTCATAGTAGGTGTCATATTCGGGTGGGTCTTTAGATCTAATTTATTAAAGAGTCCTTCCACTTGCTATTGGTGAACTATTATAGAGTAAATTCGTTCTTTAACAAACCCATACAGTAAAGGATATTCATTAACATTAGAATTAGGGTTTAAACAAAATTTTAAAAACTCATTTTTAAATTCTAAATTATTTTGTAGTTCTTCCCGAAGACCGAATGTATTATTGGATATCTCCAAATCAATACTCAATTGTTCTGCAAATTCAATTTCATATTTGCTTGGTACCAAAGGCTATGGGGTTCGTAAAGCAATAGGATAAAAAGCCCGTGCAAATTCACGACTAGAATTTCCACCTAACTGGCATATTGACAATGGTAAATGTATCCACAGGGACATCTATTTTACAAAACTTTTATATGCTTTGTTTATTCCCGTTCCAAATTGTCAAAGAGCTCACTAAATTCTTCATTATTTAGTGATTCAAGTACCATTAGTAGTTCTTGTTCAAAGAATGTGTCAAAATTTTCACAGAGTTTATGTAAAAATTTTATCCACTCATTTACTTTGTCTGGCATTTCGTGAGCACGTCAGCCAGGTAGAAGTTGAACCAAATGATTTTCTACTTGAATACGGGATATAGGATCCTTTCCAACTATAAATTGTATCAATGGTTCATATAAGTGCTTGCCGAATGTAACTAAGCACTGAACTTGAATGTTTAATTTTTCGTTTAAGAGCCAATCACGAAACAAACACCTAATTAGTAAGTATAAAAAAAAAATTAATAGATTTAAATAAGCATTCACAAATCAAAAATATTATATATAATATATACCAATCTGAAAGATATGTGGTTGGTGTATTCTGATTACTTTCAAGTTCTTGAATGAACCAATTCGCGAATTCTAGATGTGCTTCATGTCGATCCAAATATTGCTTTGTAGCAAGCAATTCATATTCCCAATGACCCCGAATTGGCAATTGGTATTGAGAGAAATGATACCCTAATAATCTGTCATATAATTTTTGAATCCAACTTGATTTCATATTAAGAGGTTTTCCTTTATTATTTGAGTCATATCCGTTGTGAAGATACCAAGCTAAATATAGAAGATTATACGGTTGTGGTGTCCACGAAAATCCTATTGAGGAAGATGACTTGCCAAATGCCGTCTCTTCAAAGTTTGAAAAAACAATATGCATTATATGCATTCCACAACCAATCCTTACTGTATCTACATTTGTCTTCTTATTAAATTGAACAATTGCACCTTTTTTATTACCTAACATATAGGCCGTATTGTCCATTACCCATGCCAAACATTTTTTCAGATCAAGCCCGTGATTCGTAATTGCTTTGAGAGTACTGTCTGCTACCGATTGGCCAGTGCAGTTATTTAAATCCTCAAGATTTGTCACAATAACTGATAGTATGTTTTTTTTATGATTCCAAAACATAATGCATACTATGAAATATTTAAATTCTCTACGAGTTGATTCATTGACGAGGATTCCATAGTATGAACATTGCTTGGCCTTAAGTATTCCAGCTTCAGTTTCAATTTGTGAAATTTCTTTATGCCAAGTACTTAGGGTTGTCACGGATAACCATCTTTGCGGGGGCTCTCTGGTTAAGAATTCATAGACCAGACGTAATGATTCAACTGTTGCGGTTAAAGAAGTTTGTCCAATTTGTGACATCTTAGTTGAAAGCCAAACCATTCAGGGCGAGTATTCTCGATTATTTGCTCTAAACAGCATACTAATTTGGCGTTTGAATTCATTATGATGTAGCTGCTTAGATTTTCTTATTAATGATCGAATAGTTGAAATTCGATTTTTAATTTTATTGTTAAGATGTTGGTTTGAACTGCCTGATAGAGTGGAAACATGAATTGGGTAAGGGCACATGAAAAAAAACTTATGAAATGCGATTTACTAAATTTTTAACACTACCCTACTTATAGACTGGATTTTGTGTACTAGTTTTTTATTACTTCGTATTAATCTTCTATTTGCAGACTTTAGCTCGATATTTTCAGCCTTTAACTTTTTAATTTGGTTTTTTGGATCCTTAATGAAGTCCAAAGCTTTTTTTTGAAGGTAGGGTGAGATGATCTTATTAGTGTGTTTGCCTTTTGGATTTCGCATTGAATTAAAAAGCAATAATGCTTTTGCTTTTTCTGGTTCTGGCATTTCGTGAATTGATTGAAACATTTCTTCTTCTCGAGTGTCATTTGTAATATCGGTAAGGATTTTATGAATTTTTGAAAGAGATTCATGATCAAATTCGGTAATTATCTTAAAAATTTTTTGAACCTTATTTTTTTGACTTTCTAATTTTTTTAAATGGCACTTTTGCTTTAGTAGTTTTGGCATTGTAAATTTGGGTTCGAATTTTATGAAATTTTATTAATCCTGCAATCGCAGTAAAAACAACGTTATTTATTACTTTTTTAACAAACAAAATTTTATAATTGTCTAAGCACACAATAACTTTATTTATTAAAATCAATATTTCGCTATGTACAATTTAAAAACTTTAATACTGATGATCATACAAAAGCATTCTTTAAATAATATCAAACAAAAACAGAACAAACTTTGTTCTAATGATTACAATGTCCATGATCAACTTCAGCGAGACTAAATTCAACATAACAAACAGCTACACCAAGTTTCTTAGACTTAAACGTTTTTGGTGATTTTTCATTGTCTAAACAATGAAAATCGCGATAGATCTACCAAGTCTGTGCCACTCTTACTATTTTAAGCTAAAATTGTAGCGATTAGAAACCACGTCAATAAAACAGTACCTTTCCATTATTGGTGTGGCGAGATATTTTGTTTTTGTCCCATTTCCTAAAAAGAGTGCTTATGCTAATTACCCGACTGGCACTTGCCTACCATGCACAATCTGCCGGAAGGTTCCTCACTTTACTAATCAGTTAATTAAATCTATCAATGTTAATTAAATATATCAGTGCTAATTTTACATAGGACTGTCTTCCCGACAGTCATCTGAGTAACCGCACCCACAGTATATATAATATAAAATTACAATTGACAAGTTATTGATATCAATATCGATATTGCTTTGTCTCTCATTTTGGGATAAACTGTTACTACGAAGAAACATACGGGTATTTCCCTTCTGCTATCGAGCAACCTACGCAGTTGTTTATAGAATCGTGCAACATGCTCTTTCTCAATTTTCATTTACTTTTTGTATTACGACTGTCGTTCCGACAGGCCATAAATTATTATTATTTTGTGACTGTCGTCTCAACAGGCCACATTTAACGTTTTTCAGCATACAATCCTAACGGATCCCACCACCTACTCTTATTTATGACTGCCGTCCCGACAGAACACAAAATTTATGCGTCGCTCTAACGCGGGTAGGGTGGGAGGGATCGATATAACCAGAACAGAAGTCGGGTTCGCAGAAAAGACAAAGCTAATTCCATTATTTACTAAATATACTACCTCATAATTAATCGGTTACTTCACTAAGACTAATCACTAACCATACTTTCATCAAAGATCGTATTACTAATTACCTTATTACCTCATACTTACGTTTTATCAGTCAACCGATCGATCGAACATGTGATCGTAACCAGATGTTCGATCGGATGTCACATGACTCGAGACAAAAGCTACCTTGATACTTACGTATCGAGCAGCTATTATGATTTTTTATATTATATGCGGCTTGTGTAGCTGCACTTTGGGAGGGCCAGCTTGGCCGACTCAGTCATCTTTTACTTCTTTATCGTTATCGTTATATATTAATATGGTTAAATAAACCAGATTTGTGTAACCCCGTGAAATCATTAGATAAATTATTATAGAACTATAAATTTTTAATAAAATTTTTTTTTTAAAAAAACGCTTCAATTTATTCAAATTTAAAGTCCAATGATTAATTAGGTAAAATTTCTAGTCAAATTAATATGTAA